AAATAAATAAATAAAATCTTCAAAAAAAAAAGAAAAACAAAAAAAACCTGTGTAGTCCTATCCTGAATTTTCAGGTTACAACCTCATTTTACTACTTTTTACTTGGCAAGTTAACGATCATAGGCCCAAAAGTTTCTTTAAAACTCCTTGAACCTTAGATTCTAAATATCTCTTCAAATACAAACCTTAATTAAGAAATAGAAATCTGATTATTAAGCATTCAAAACTCAGTGCTGCTGACTATCAGAAGGCTCCAGAGTATTTTGGTATATCAAAACATGTGATACACACACCTTAGTAACAGTTTCTCAGCTAACCAACTGTTATTTCAAATGCATAAATAGTGTCCCTTTCATTGGGAAAAATGAAAAGATTAAAAAAATAAAATCCTACCGAATGGGGCACCTGGGCAGCTCAGTTGGTTAAGCGTCCCAACTCTTGATTTCGGCTCAGGTTGTGAGACTGAGCCCCATGTCGGGCTCCACAGAGTGAGGAGTCTGCTTGGGATTTTCTCTCTCCCTCTGCCCCTCCCTGTCCTACTCGCACTCTCTCTCTCAAAAAAAAAAAAAAAAAAAAAAAAATCCTACCATTTTTTTTCTCTTCATGTATTTTATTTTAAATATTTTTAACTTTGAGTGGACACCCAATGTCACATTAATTTCAGGTGTATGCAGAGTCAACAGCCCTGTATGCTCTGCTCACCACCAGGGTAGCTACCACCCGAAAAATGGAAGACATTTGTAACAGTGTTGGGGAGGCCACAAGAAAACCATCTTCCGTCCGCCCCCCCGCATGGGATGTCCAGGGGAAGCATTACTACATATGAATACAAACGGCTTCTAAAGCAGAACCCAAGTTACACCAAGGTAAGAACATTTTCAAAGTATACAAGGTAACTTACGTGGGTCCTGAATAAAAGCAACAAACTAGTTATTTCAGGCACTTCATCTGGCTGATTCCCATCTTTATACAACTTCAGATAGATTCGATTTTAAAGAAAGTGTCAGCAACTAAAACAACGTTAAAGAAACATTTTAACTTCCTAGATTTTCATCTACAGGATGAATTCTGTATGCCTGAAAACAAGCTTTGGCACCTAAGACAGTGTAATAAAAATTGTCCTCCCTACTTACTTAAATTTAAATGTTTCTCCTAGTTCAGAAGCATTTCCTGGGGAAATTTCAAATATTCCAGAAAAGGGGTAAGGATGGCCACCATAAGCAAATTCTGAAAAGAGAAAACTCATGATTTTTAGTATTTATCACACAAAACTTAACCAGAATGCTGAATTAGTTTTAATAAATGATGAGGATAATAATGATACCATCTAAGTATTTTCCAGGTTATCAATACTTTCACAAACATCTCATTCAGCTGTTACTTGTACACAACAGTTGATACAAAAGGCCTGAAACCAATAACGAAAGACACTCAAAGGTGATCCTGACTTGTCCTTTTATTTCGTGTATGCTGGCGAGAGCAGAATGACGAACACTCACAGGTGAATGCGGTCTCTCTGCCTAGCGATTGTGCCAAACTAAGTGGGTGGTCTGTGCTGTGTTTTGTCTTTTTCTAAATTAAAGTGATCAAATGTTAAACTTACACTTTACTGGAAAAACTGTCTAATAACAATAATTTTGCACGGCTCCTGGGCTGAAGACTCTTGGTTTATCTTTGAATAAGAGTGAAACATTAGCAAGCCTGAAAAACTGAATTCCATTCCCCTCATTCAAGAAAAAATAAGCTGCCAAATTAACACATACACCTACTCACACACACTCTCCACAGCAAATCTCTGAGCCAGGAGCGGACGACTTGTGCTACTGGCTCACGAGACCTCAACTCTCATCCAGAACAGAAGCAGAGAGTGCTTTCAGATAAGGAAGGAACTAAAATTCCTGGGAGGAGATACTGAAGTGGCAAATTGTGGTGGACTTATTTTCAAAATTACAAATGTTTAAATTAATCTCATTGCTTAAAATTTATTAAATATAATCATGAAAGGTCAAAGAATAAGGCAGATACCAAGTTTACTTTTGATCCAGACCTTCCAGAGAAAAAGCAAGGACGTGGATAAGAAATAAAGCATCTGGCATTCAATTATGAAGCAGTAAAAATTACCTTAATGATAGGATTTTATAAAACATTGTAGATAATCAGGTTAGATATGGAAAGATAATGTTTACATTTTTTACTTCCTCAATTCCAGCAAGAAAAATTGTCAAGCCATTTATTCATTTATTCAAGAAGTGTCATTCACTTTCTGCAAGATATTGACCATGTTTCTAATTATTCCTAAATCATTTTATGGAGAGGAGCAATGATTAGACTGGTGAAAGAATACTGGGCTAGTAGGTAAGAACACTGGGGTTCAAGTCCTCGTTCAATTAACTAGTAGTAGGACTGTCAGCAGAGCTGAGCTTGGGCTTCTTCCTTTGCAACATGGAGAAACTGCCACATGTCTCCATGTCCTTCTCTACGTCACAGCAGCATGATCATGTGGCTCAGAACTGCATGGCACTTAAAAGACTGTAACACACTACAGAAATTCAGTTAAAAAGGAACACACACAACTTTGGCAAAAGCCAAATCAAACAAGGGAGCAAACCCACAGACGATGATGCCACCCGCAGCAACACTGGCCACTAACGCTTTCGGCAGGAGCCTCCTTGCTTTGGGGGGTTATTTGGTAGATGTAGCCTTTCCAGTAAGACGGAGCTTACGTGGTGGATCTTTATAGCGAATATTTTCTATGCTATGCTGCAGCCAGAAGCAGCTAATGTGGAATGTCAGGAGGGGACAGTATAAACGCCACCCTGACACACAGGAGGAAATGAGCCTTCTCCTCGTGTTCGCAAAAGCTGGTCTGTAGCCTCCACGGGTTACTCTGTGTAGACTGCAATCACATGTTCTTAGAGGTCTTGTACAAAGACTGCCTGGCTGAGGCAAATAAAAGACATTTCTGCTACAGGGTGAGTTTATGATGCAAAATAATACATTCCTACAACCCTGCTGGAACTGGCAATGTGGTCTGTGTTATGCAGACCATTACTGCTTATAGTTTGATCCGGAGGAAATTATCCTGCACCCACGGTGGGAATTAGAACCAAGGAAAAAGCTGCTGAAAACAAAGCTGCTTGGTTTGAGTGGCTCCTGTCATATTTATAATAAAGGGCCACGAAGAATAAAAGGGCTGAGTTAATGACAAAGGCCATCATTCCTGAGCAAAAAGTTAGATGTAATCAAGGGCGGGATTTGCTCAGTGATATTTTTAAACTTTGTAATGACACACTTGCAAGTCTATAAAAAAAATTTAATACTGAAATTCCCTCAGGAAATTGGTATTTCAAGTTTGACACTCTAGCACCAACTCATCTCCAACCATAATGACTGGTTTTCAACGTGCAAGGTTTCTTAGCATCTCCAGTATCTGTTAGCACAAAACTGTCATGGTAAAACAATCCCAAAAGGTAAATATTTTTTAAGACCCTGTATTTGGAATAAAAGATAACTACATGAATGTATGGTCACGTACTACAGTACTTTCTCCCCAAATACATTCAACTCCAGGCATTTTCCCAAAATAGTGTAAACAAATATGGGAAGATTTTCTCCTACTTTCTGCAATAAAGTATGGAAGCAGCTGAAAAAAGAGGCAGAGCTATGGATATGAATTGCAAGTCCTTTGAAAGAGAACAATCTTCAGAAAGTCTATTTAGACTGTGTGTACACGTACCTCTGCCATATACTTCAATTCCCGAATGAAAAACGCCAATTCCGATGGATGAGGTGTATTCATTCATCCAGTACTAGGAAAAAAAGAAGAGATTCAGAGTATCTGTCCATTTACCATTTAACTCCACATGAGAGGAGACTGCTGCCCCCACATCCTTCACAGAATATTTAGGCCTTTCAAACTCCATCTTGTAGTATTTTTCCTTCCGGCCCCAAACTCAACGAAAATGGCTCATTTGGTCCTATCTCTGCGCCTCTGCTTGTATGACATCCCACGTGGAATGCATTCCTGGGTCAAAATGACTGCCTCAAGTTGTAAAGGCTTAGAGCATAAGCCATAAAATCTAAACCTGGTCAGGTTGGGGGAAAAAATGGATATAAAAGCTCTGTGACTTTAAAAAAAAAAATCACATATAATGTGTGCTTTTACATCTATTTTTCTTCTACCTTAAGCCTTCCCTTTCATTCTCTGGTGAGCTCCCCGAGGACTGGGATATTGTACTCTTTTTCAAAAACTTTTGGAAAAGACATATATATGGTATGTATGTCCTAATTCAGCTCAACGTTTGATGACGATAATACAGGAACAAATCACATGAGGCACAAAGGCTACCACAATCTTCTTACCATTGACATGCAGTTAACATTCCCAGAAAAGGTAGTATCTGAATTGGGTTTTTAGGAACAAATGAGATTTCCGCAGATAGAAAATGTGGGGGTTGTGGTGGAGTGGAGGGGAATGGGGAGAAATGTCTGGAAGGGCGAAAAGGGTGCACCAGCATCATGATGTGAATATCTGGGGGTGACTGTGGAGGGGGTGCAAGGAGGACTGGAGAGGGTTTACCTAGAAGAAAGTAGTAAATGAGTCAACAGCTCATTAAACCAACACTTAGGCAACACTTAACAGTGTTACCATTAAGTTTCTTCTAGGTTAGAGGACAGATAATTTGTCTTTAATTTTTCTGGGTTTATTCAAGTCTTACAGCCTTGGTTCCAGACCCCCTCGCCAGTTTCTTCCAGACGTTGGGAAGTGCATGTTTGCGTATATTGCTGGAGGAAGCATAAACGGTAAAAGTCAATTTATTTTGTCCTAAAATGTACCTGGAAGAAAAATTAAGCAATAATAAACAAGAAATATTTGAAAAAGAACAAGGAACTTTCTCATCTAGATATCAATACGCTCATTCACAGGATGGTACGGCTTTAGAACAGATCCTTGCATGTGTAAGAATCTGGTGTATGATAAAGGTGGTGTTTATGATTAGTGATAAAGGAAAAACTATTAAAAATGTGGTGACAAAACTCACGCATAAAAATATATTTCATGTATCTGAAAATTCTGGTGTGTCTAAGAATCATCATAGAGAAGAAAATAAAATAGACGAAAAAAAAAAGATTTCTTGGATGGGAAAAGATGACCTAAGTAAAGCAAAACCAAGAATTTCTACAGGAAAATCACAGATACTCAAAAAACACTTCCAAGTTTTTATTGTGTAAAACCACATGAACAACATCAAAAGACAAACAAGACACAGGGAAGAAAAGATCAGAATGATAATACGTCTGATAATACGTCTTGCTCTCTACCAGATTCTGTCTGGTTCCTGATTTTGGACAGCCTGAATTTGGATGGCAAGTTAGGAATGTTTTTATCTGAATTGATTTGATTTTGGATGCAGGAGGGAGAGTACATACAAAAAGGGATTTCTCAAGACTGTATCCAATCTACTTAATTCCACAGTTTAGGTAGCAAAAATTCAGACAGCAAGGGATACCGTATACAAAAGCTCCATTAAAATAACCCCCACAGGGGCGCCTGGGTGGCTCAGTTGGTTAAGCGTCTGCCTTCAGCTCAGGTCATGATCCCGGGTTCTGGGATCGAGCCCCACTTTGGGTTCCCTGCTCACTGGGGAGCCTGCTTCTCCCTCTCCTCCCCACTTGTGTGCTCTCTTTTGCTATCTCTGTCTCTCTCTCAAATAAAAATCTTCAAAAAAAAAAAAAAAAAACAAACCCCGTAGACAAGTGAGCAATCATAGAAGAAATTAGTGGTTAACAAACATGAACTAACATTCTCACTAGTAAACAGAAAAATACTAATGAAAACAGTAAGCTACCAGTCTTTTTTTCATCCATCAGATTGGCAAATATAAAAAATATTGCTAAATATTGCTGGTGTTGGTAAGGGTGTGAGGAAGCTCCCACTGAAGTGTGAATCAATAACAGTTAATTAACCATTATATTCTTGGGAATCTATTCTACAGAAATTCATAAACATATGCAAAGACATATTCTGGGATATTAACTGCAGTTGTCTATAATACTGAAAACCTAGAAACAACACAAATATCAGTAATGGAATGGTTAAATTACGGTAAATCTGTATTATGAACTATCATCCAGCTACTAAAAAAGTAGCTATGTACAACTATAACTCGATACACATGGACATAAAGATACCTAAGACATATAAGGTAAAACACCAAGTATGATACATTTGCATATTTGCAAAATAAAGAAATAAATATGCCCTTTGTGTATATTTGGTGCTAAATATGGAAAAATACAACAAAACTGCCATCAACTACAGCAAAAGAAAGTTTGAAGGCTACAGATCGGAACTGTTAACAGTTTGGGAAAGGGGCACAGATATAGCAGGGGAGGGAGTGGAACAGTAGAAAGGGGATGCTTCAACTTTTACCTGAAAAATTTGAAAAAAACTTATATTTATGGAGGTGTAATTGACATACAATGTTACATTAGTTCCAGGTGTAGAATACAGTGATTTGATATTCACATACATTGTGAAATGGTCACCATAAGAGTCTAGTTCCCATCTATCACCTTACAATGTTAATTCTGTGCTAGTGACTACACTTCCTGCACGGTACAATATATCCCAATGACTTATTTATTTTATAACTTGGAAGTATGTACATCTTAATTCTCTTCACCCATTCTGCCTTCCTATTCCCAATCACCCTTCCCTCTGGCAACCACCACTCTATTCTCTGTATCTATGAGTGTGAGCTTTGTTTCGTTTTTTAGATTTCACACATAATGAGGTCATGCCGTAACTGTCTTTCTGTCTGCCTGTTTCATTTATCATATTACACTCGAGGTCCATCCATGTTACTGCAAACAGTAACTTCATTCTTTTTCATGGCTGAGTAGTATTTACATAATACTACTCCTATGGCTGAGTTACCTATAAATCAATCAAATTTTCTTTAGCCATTCATCCACAGATGGACAGTTAGGTTGTTTCCATTATCTCAGTTATTGTAAATAAATCTGCAATGAACACAGGAATGCATACAACTTTTTGGATTAGTGTTTTCATTTTCCTTTGATAGATAACCAGTAGTGGAACTTCTGCTTACAAGGTTGCTCTCTTTTTAATTTATTGAGGAATCTACATACTGTTTTCCATGGTGGTGGCATTAATTTACATTCCTACCAATAGTGCAAGAGGGCTCCCTTTTCTCCACATCCTGTTATTTCTTGCCTTTTTGATAACAGCCATTCGACAGGTGTAAGGTGATATCTCATTGTAGTTTTGATTTGCCTTTCCCTGATGATTAGTGAGACTGAGCATCTTTTCATGTACCTGTATGTCTTCTCTGGAAAAACGTCTATTCAAATCATCTGCCCATTTACATGTATTTTCTCCCATTCAGTAGGTTGCCTTTTCATGTTGTTGATGGTTTCCTTTACTGAGCAGAAGCTTTTTAGTTTGATGCAGTTCCATTTGTTTATTTTTGCTTCTGTTGCCCTTGCCTTTGGAGTCAGATCCAAAAAAAACACTGCTAAACCCAGTATCAAGGAGCTTATCACCTCCCATGTTTTGAGGAGTTTTGTAATTTTAGGTCTTACATTCAAGCCTTTAATCCACTTTGGGTTGATTTTGTATATGGTATAAAATTGTGGTCCAGTTTCATTCTTTTGCATGTAGCTGTCCAGTTTTCCCAAAACCATTTGTTGAAAGAGACTGTCCTTTCCCTATCTCTATTCTTGCCTCCTCTGTTGTAATCAATTGACCAAAAACACATGGCTTTATTTCTGTGGGCTCTATTCTGTTCTAATGATGTATGTGTCTGTTTTTATGCCAATACCATACTGTTTGATTACTATAGCTTTGTAGTATAGTTTGAAATCAGGGAGAGTGGTATCTCTGGCTTTGTTCTTCTTTCTCAAGATTGGTTTGGCTATTCAGGGTCTTTTGTGGTTTCATACAAATTTTAGAATTATTTCTAGTTCTGTGGACAATGTTACTGGAATTTTAATATGGATTGCACTGAATCTGTAGATTGCTTTGGGTAGTAGGGACATTTTAATGTTATTATTTCTTTCAGTCCTTGAGGACAAAAGCTTGCTTTCTATTTCTCCAATTTTTTTCACGAATGTATTATAGCTTTCAGTGTATAGGTCTTTCACCTCTTTGGTGAAATTTATTCCTGGGTATTTTATTCTTTTTGATGCAACTGTAAATGGGATGTTTTCTTGATTTTTCTTTCTGATACTTTATTAGTGTATAGAAACACAACTGATTTTTATATATTAATTTTGTATCCTCCAACGGGACTGAATTCTAACAGTTACTTGGTGGAGTTTTCCACATATGGTATCATATCATCCACAAATAGTGACAGTTTCGCTTCTTCCTCACCAATATGTATGCCTTTTATTTCTTCTTCTTGCCTAATCGCTATGGCCAGGAATCCCAAAATGATGTTGAGTAAAAGTGGTGAGAGTGGGCATCCCGGTTTTGTTCCTGATCTTTGAGAAAAAGGAGAACAATGTTCACATGGTCTCAAAGTACTGAACCCCACATTTCTCTACATTATAAGGAAAAAAGATACCTTTGAAAATATGAAAAAAAATTGTGAATATCATCTATGTAGGTGACTAAACAGAGTGTCATTGATAGCTGGACAAACTAATGTTATGCGCCTCCCGATGTGATAAAATAGGCTACAACATTTCCTTTGTTAGTTTTCTTGTCAGATGCATTTAACAGAATATAACCATAAGAAAAAAATCAGTAAGTCTGGACTGTGGGGCTTTTTGTAAGAAA